AGTCTGCAGAGCTGTGAGTGTGTGTGTGTGTGTGTGTGTGTACAGGAGGATGAGAGATGTAAATGAAAATCACACTGCCATGCAAGTAGCCAAGGCACTGAGTGCTGTAAAGAAGAAGTAAATGGGCTATCAATATATACTGTGGGAAAGGACTTGGTCAGGTCTGAAAGTCTTGAGCTAGGGCCAGGTGTGTTGGTGTATGGCTCTTGTCCCAGCACTTGGAAGAAATCCAGCATTTGGAAGGCAGAGACTGGTGGATCCTGGTTTGTGTAGTGAGTTCCAGACTATCAAGAAGTAGGGACTGGTCTGTGTGTGTCTCTTTGTGTGTGTGTGAGAGAGAGGCAGAGAGAGAGAGAGAGAGGGAGAGAGAGAAAGAGAGTTTTGTTTTTTGTGGGAGGTGTCTCAAAAACAAAACAAGATATGAGCTGAGCATGATGGATGTGACGTGAGACAGAAGCCATTTTTGGATGATAAAACCATGATGTGTGAAAAGGCCCTTTGGGAGAAAAGAGTGCATCTAAAGCTAGAAGGAGAGCTGGAGAGTGATGCGGAAGACTTACGCTGGTACCCAAAGCATGTGAAGCTGGGCCCGGGAGGCATAATTTGGTAGACCAGGAGCCTCTTGGAGTGCTGGGGCGGCAGCTCAGGTCTTAGCAGAGTGCTTCTGTTGCACTCAGAAGGATTCAGTACGAAGTACAGCATAAAATTAAGCCTTATGGCATAAATTTGTAACCCCACACTGGGCAGGTGGAGGTGGGAGGACCAGAAATTCCCAAGTCATCCTAGACTAAGTGGTGAGTTTCAGGCCAGTCTAGGCTGTGGAATGGAAGAAGCCCCCTGGGTTTTCATCTTAAAAGCAACATGAAGTCACTGAAAGGTTTAACAGGGGGTAGGAGGAGCTTTCTGAAGGGGATGCCTGAATGACATTTGCATTTTGAAAAGATTGTTCTGGCTGAAGAGCTAACATCCTTTAAGGACTTTCTGCTCGGCTAATCCAATGAACACAGCATGGAGGGGCCAGCCCCTTGCAGCCAGATCTGGGTTTGAGTCCTGACTGCATGACTCACCACTCACACGGCCTCAGAGGAGAAGACATCCTTTCAAAGCTTCAGGTTCCTTGTCTATAAAATGGGATAATAATATCTCTCATGTTCTTGAGGGGCTTAAAGGAATGAAAATAAATAAAGCCTGCCTGCATCACAAGTTATTCTCTGACTGTTTTAAAAGTAGACATAGATTTCTTACCATATGTGAGAAAGCTAGCATTGAGTGGGCCAGCTTTTCTTAGACAAAACACCTTGGACTTCACATGAGTCTGAGCTGGCTCTGTATCTATGGCTTGGAAATCATCCCTCTTCCACAACAAACACCCGACAAAGACAACCACTCATTTGGCTAGCTGTATAAGCCGCTGCTATCCACCTTTCCCATCCTGGTATTTACCAGACGATAGACCACGGGAGAGAGGAAACAACCAGAAAGCAGACAAACCACAAATGGGTGCTGCAAAAATAGAAGCAGGATGGGGGCTGCGAAGGGCTGGGAGAGGGGGTGTGCAGGGCTGGGGAGGAGGTGTGGAAGGCATTAGCTGGTAAACCAGTAAGAGACTGTGGTGGTGTGCCCTAGTCAGAGTGGCATCAGCATTTTTGTTCTGTTCTGATAGGCCTGCATTCCACACGCCCTCATCTCGTGGTAAGCCCAGGACCCTGCCAGAACACAGCTCAGGGGATCACAAGTCTGGGTTTTGTTAAAGTACACAAGAGCCTGGTCCGAATCTCTCGTGGGTCAATGGTGAGATGATGTCAGCAATGATGAGGTTTAATGGATCAAATATCTCTCCACCCTTGATTATAATGACCCCTGAAGACTGTGATAGCTATGGGAAGTTGAAGTGAGACCAGTGGAGGATCACCAAGGGAGGATCCTGGAAATCTGAGAGCAAAGGCAAGGAATCAGATATTCATCTTGTCTCTCTGTCATGCAGTTAGTAGAAGCGGGGAAGATCTTTTGATCGGTTGACTGAGGCAACATCTTACCATGTAGTCTTGGCTGGCCTGGGACTTGCTGTGTACACGGGACTGGTCTGGACCTCACAGAGACCCACCTGCCTCTGCCTCCTGGGTGCTAGTATTAAAAGGACGAGTCACCATTTTTCAGCTAAAATAATGTAGAAGTGGGAATGACAGAACCACAATATCATCGTTTTGTAATTGTCAATTGTTGTAGGCACTGTGTCAGTGACTGCTAACATCGTGAAAAGACACCCCTTGCTATGTGCCTCTTAATGGAAACACATAATACTCTTGCTCAGACTGAACCAGATACAAACAAACTAGATCTAACCTCCTATTTGTAGACAACAGAGAGGTTGGGGGTACAGTAAATGACACAGACAGTGAGAGACTATGGAAAAGAGAGAGAGAATGTAAGCAGAAACAGGCTGTGTGAGACATTCCACCTGTTTACAGCTCTAAAGGCAGTGGGGCCTGGGGGAATGGAGCTGATAAAAAAGGGCAGACTAAAGTCTCAACCAGTCTCAGCTTTGTTCAGAGCACCAGACAATTTATACTCTGAGGGTTAAGAGCCCTCACCTGAGTAAAGTGCACAGTCAGAAGGGCAAGCCGTGTGGGGAGAACATATTGGAGAGGCGCGAGCATTGTTCCCATAGAGGCATGGCAACACATGGCGATAGCCCGCGGTAAATGAGTGATCTGAAGTAAACTTATTCCGATCTGATACACCTGGGAGGGGCCCAAAAAATACATTCCAAGGATGATTCCGAGTTTTTGAAGTAACCGAGGTCACAAAACCCTTGTCTTGGTTTCTTGGAGTTTTCTCCTAAGCACTCAGAAATCTCCTCACAGGACTCCATTCTTGGGTTGTGCTCTAAAACTGCTAACTACAACTGTCCCCTAATGAGTCAAGGAAGTACTAAACTCTAAAAATACTAATTCCAGCACTAACGTCAACAGTGGTGGGAAAATTGATGCTCTTCAAGGAATTAGTTCCAACTTTCTGTGTGTATTAGTTGATAGTTATATGAGGTGGGGGAAGGCAGAAAAAGGGAAGGAGGGCAGGGATGAGGGGCTGGGGGAGTTCTTATTTTCTCCCAGGGCTTGGGGATCAAACCAGGATCTGCTTAGACAGGATGAACACTCTGCCACTGAGCTACATTTTCAGTCCTGAATTTTTTTTCAGTAATAAGAGTGGATTTATTTTTAAGATAAAGGATATGATAGGGACAATTTCAACTGGGAAAGGGGACAGAGAGATGGGGTAAGGATACCAATGAGGCAAGATGAGGCATGTGATGATCATTGCTGAAAGAGAACTTGGGATTCTCAGGATTCCTGGTGACTCAGGATGGCTTAGTATTTTGCACGAAGGAAACAGTTCGGAAACACATTAAGCAACCTATCTGTCCCTCCTCTTTTAATAATAAATCCTCTCAGCATTAATAATAATGGTATGCTGATCTGACAGCGCCCTGGGCTGACTCAGCATTTCCAGCTAAGAACCTTGAATTCTCCTAGTGTGAAAACCACTCCATTGGTGCTGGGGGCGGGGATGGTATTCTGAGACTGCGCTCTCTGTGTCTCCCCATGCTCCTTTGAGAAGGGAGGGCTCAGGCGGTTTCTCATACCTTGTGGCAGTGGTCCTCCACCTTCCTGGTGCTGGGACCCTTTCATACAGTGTGGTGGCCCCAACTGTAAAATTATTTCCATTGCTATTTCGTAGCTGTCTTTGTGTTATGAACAGTAATGCAAATGCCTGTGTTTTCTGACGGTCTTAGGTGATACCTCTAACGGTTCATTCGACCCCCAGTTTGCCCTAGGAGCTGGCAGTGATTTCCTGCAGCAACAAAAAGTGGCTGTTGCAGTTGGCCTGGGTTGGAACTCTGGCTTACGCAGGTGAATTCCGCAGTAAATTTACCCCAGCGCATCATACTCCCAGTTGGTGGCATGGAAATACCAGTCATGCTTAGCTCAAAGCACAAGCCACGAAGATAGTCAAGATACATGTCATGCATCCATTTCACAAACAAGGAGCTCAGAGCCTTCAGTTTAGAGAAGCGCATGAGTGTACGAGTGGAGCAGTGAAGAAAATACAGGCCATTTGGAGCCTGCAGGGAGAGTCGAGAGCAGGCAGGAAACGGTACTTTCAAATAACCTTAGGTAGCTATGAAGGAGCTACGAAACACAACAAAGTAATTTGAGAGACAGAGCAGCTCCCAGAGAGGTGAGCTGCAATCTCAGGGACTGATGTGAGGCAGTCTGGCTGGTTGAACCTCATGGGACCAAAGGGAAATCGCTTGCTGGAGGTGTGGGGTGGGGTGGGGTGGGGTGGGGTGGCCTGGCCTTCCCCCAGCAGGAGACAGTCCCACTCCTCTCTACCTCCCTGGACATCTAGCAGTGTGTGAGGATTTTTGGTTGCCGTGCCTTGGGAAGAGAGGGGCCTTAGGGTCACGGCATTTAGCGGACAGAGGTGAGGCATGCTCCACCCGCAAACTATGCCGTGCCTAGGACAGCCTCGATGCTAAAATTAAACATTTCCAAAAACTGAGGAGCGGTTGAGTTGGTGAACCTCGCTTGCTACACCGAGCACATCAAGGGCGGGAATGAGAAAGAAGCTGTGCTGGAGAGGAGAAACCCAAGTCTAGAGAGGCTGAGGGAATGGGAATGGGAGAAGGCGACTAGGCTAGATTCCGCTAGTGAGGGATTTGGAGGGAGTTATCCTAAAGCAGCGGGAAGCTGTCGGGGACTCTTCTGCGGGGAGGAGGGTAGCCTATGCGAGGCGCTTGGCACGTACAGGCCCCCGTGGACGGATAAGCTCTGTTATTTATTGTCACCTTTGTGTCTTCCCTACCCCGCCCAACTCCGACCCCTGCCGCAGCGTGGTCGCAGTGACTCCTCCCGGCCAGTAGAGGGCGCCGGCCGGCGCTTGGCCGCCGGCCGCCCGAGGCGGGTCTCCTCTTGCCGCTCCCCCGCTGCCCCCACCCCGTCTTTTCCCCCCTTGGGAGAAGTCGGCAAGGTGGCGGCGGCGGCGGCGGCGGCGGTTGTCCCGCCGGGCCGGTTGGTGTGACCGGTCGGCGCGTGCTGCGCAGCAGCGTCCGCGTTTCGTCCAGCCGGGCGGAGCCGAGCGGAGGCCGAGGCCGGAGCCCGCGAGGGCGGAGGGCGGAGGCGGCCAGGGCGGCCCGTGGGAGGGAGCGCGGGGCCCCGGCAGCGCCGCCGGCTCCCGGCCCTGCCGGCCTCCTCCGTCGGAGCCGCGGCCATGGCGGCCAGCGCGAAGCGGAAGCAGGAGGAGAAGCACCTGAAGATGCTGCGGGACATGACGGGGTTGCCGCACAACCGCAAGTGCTTCGACTGCGACCAGCGCGGCCCCACCTACGTGAACATGACGGTCGGCTCGTTCGTGTGCACCTCCTGCTCCGGCAGCCTGTGAGTGCGGGCCGGGGGCCGGGGGCGCCGGGCCGGGCGGCTGGGCCCGTTGTGGATGCGTGCGGCCTGGGCCTCGGGCCCCGGGATGCTCCTCGCTGTGGCCGGGCCAGGGTCCGGCCCCTAGGGGTGGCCGGCTTGGGTGGGGCCGGGGTCAGCGAGCGGCTGGCCCGGCGGAGCATCTCGGCTTCCCGCCGCCCAGCGGGCGTGGCTCGGCCTCGGGGGGCGCAGGCCGGGAGCAGCCCCGGGAGGGCCGTGCGGGGCCTTTGTGCGCCCCGCAGCTCTGCGGTTCGGAGCCCGGCGTCTGCTCTGCGCCGCGGAGCCGGTGGGAGGGGAGAAGGGACGCAGAAACTGGGCATCTTTCTCAGGTCCACAGCACGTAGGTAACTGGGGCGTGTGTGCGTGTTGGGGGGGGCGGGGAGCCCCATTAAAACGTCTTGAGGGCTGAGGTGTCAATCCCAGGAGAAAAGTTCTCTCTAGAGGATTGCTTGAAGGGAGGCAGCAAAAAGCATGGGAGTTGTGGCTGCATGCTCCAAGTGGGTCCTGAGTTGGGGAAAGTTTTCCTGGAAATGGAGTGTCAGGAGTTGTGCGGTTCAAAGCAAGGAAGGACCTCGATGAGAGTACTGAATCAGTACTCAACTGTCCTGTTCTGGCTGAATAGAGAAATGAGGGTAGCGAAGACAGTATTGAGAAAGGAGATGGAGATGGCCGCCTGAAGGTACTCAGATGGCTTATGCCTGGCCTCTCTGTTTTAGCTGTGTTTTGATGAGAATTTTTGTTCCTGTGAAATTCCATATGTAAAGGTTGCGAGTGATTCTGGACCTGATTAGATGCTATTAAATGCTAGCTATTTTGAAGTCAATATAAGTTATTAGTGAACCAGTAGTCATTATTCCTTGGATATTAAATATTCCTGTGTGTCACAGTGTGGGGGCCATGCATGTCTGATTTGTATACCTGGGTTCGCTTTTACCGGCTGAACCTCTTCGCTGGCCCTCCCAACATTTTTTACTTTAGATTGATAAGAATGTACATAACACGTGGGAAAACGAATTTCTAAAAACTTGGAAAATGTTAGACATGGCCAGTAGTTCATTATCGACCCATCCTTCCCCCGTTTTAAATTTAGGCAAGTCATCCTTGGTTCTCCATGAGTATTACATTATTTTGGGTGGCACCTATTAAGTTTTTGATGAAGCTTTAGGGTGTGGTGATAAATCCCTTAGTCTCCTAGCACTTACATTCTAATAGAGACAGTGGAAATTCGTACGCGTGCGAAAAGTGTTGGGGGAAGTGTGCTGAACTTGGGAGTAGTGTGGTAAGAGTCCCAGAGATTACTTTCAGGTTTGTAGCCAGAATTTGCCACAGCTGCATGGCAAATAGCAGCTAGATGTGTGGTTCATGGTTTTCATTTATACATGAAATAACATTAGGACATTAAAGTCACTTATGTTAGGCAACTTCAGTTCCAAGATTAATAGTCCAATTTAAAGTGTATTTTATTTTTAATATGTGCCTAAGAAGTATGTCTTGCTTTTGCTAAACATGAGGTCCTATGATGAATTTGAGTCTTAGGGTTGGTATACATACGTATTTACATATGCATAATTTATTGCTCTAGATTTGACATGTCTTCAGAGCTCTTTATAAGTACGTAAAGTGCTTCCCTTGCAGCATGTAGTAGGAAGACATTTTTCAGTGTTACAGAAACATTAGACATAGACCTCACCAGTGTAATTTCTGTTTGTTTCTTTGGCCCCCGCCTCCCAACAAGGTTTCCCTGTGTAGACCAGGCTGTCCTGGACTGCACAGAGCTCTGCCTGCCTCTGCCTCCCAAGTGCTCTGATTAAAGGCATGCATCACCACCATACCCACCGCCCCCATACCTGGCCCAGATCCATAGTTACTGCCCTGCACAAAATTCAGCTCCAGATGCAGCGAGGACCTCACCATAAGGCCAGATACACACCACCACCAGCTCTTTGGTGTAATTTTTTAAAGTTACACTTGTTTATACTGTACGCAGACATTTATTTCCTGTGCACAAATGCGTACACCGTAACACTTGGTTGCTGTCAGGGAGGGGTTGTAGGAGTCAGCTCTCTCCTTTCACCATGTGGATCCTGGAGTTTGAACTAGGTCAGTAAGCTTGGTGGCAAGTGCCTTTACTGAGCTCTCCGGGCTGCCAGTGTAATTTTTTATTTTAAGGGCTTTTTTTTTTTTTTTCCCTGTGAGTATGCTGTGTTTGGAATATATGAAGGTATGAAGGTTGATAGGTAGACTTCACAGAGGAGTTGAGGTCTGAGGAAAGAGACCTCAAAGAGCAGTTTCAGGTAGCAGCAGCTTTGTGTAGAGGAGTGGAGTACTTAGGAGTTAGGTGAGCCTGCTTTTCATTTTGCCTCGAAAAGCTGTGTAATTAATGTTGAAAATATCCACTCAGCAGTTTTTCTTGTATGTGAAATAGTGAGAATAAAAGTTTCTAATAGAGATTTGTTTTCCATCCTAAAGAGACAGAACCTCATACAATGACTGAGACACAGTAGGTTCCCAGTAGGCATTACTAATGAGGGAGAAGGGACAGTAAGACTTCGCTGAGAAGCACATGGATCACAGTCTCTCAGATCATTTGGCCCTTAACTTGAATCCTGACTCAAAATGACTTAAAAATATGAAGGTAACTTGCTGATTGGGTTTAAGTGATATTTTATTTTCCTCATCTGAAAAAAATGGCTGCCCCCAGCTCCTGGAGCCACGAACTGCACTTGAGTCTATTTGGGTTAGCCAGTCACAGGCTGCCCTGAGCCAGTGGCCTCACTGCATGCGCCATTCTTGAATTAGTAGAACAAGGATCCCCAGAATTCCTAATTCAGAAGGCTCAGAGTCTTGCTTAGAAAGTGTGGGTGCTGCAGTTGTGGCCATGGATTGTAGCATTTGGAGAAACTGCAGTTCCAGAGGGCCTTTGTCTTTGGAAAGCCGTAAGCTGGAAAACAGTTTAGAAAGAATGAAATATTAATTTTGTGTTTCTTTTTTTATTATTTTTTGATTTTGTGTTTCTTATGTAGATGATACGGTGTAACATATACATGTGTACATGTTGGCCTGGATCCATCCCCTTGGCTTAATATTTAAGTTGTGATGCCAGCATATGGTATGCTCATGGTTGTTAAGCGGGAACAGCACATGTGCTGTGTAACTTACTGAACACACTACTAGAGGATAGGGCAAGCAGTGGGCGGACGAGGCTGAAGTAAGGCTTGTTGGGTACCATTGCCTGACTTCTCTAACAGTCACTCTTAGCAGTAAATGGTGTCTGGTATACAGGTCTGGTGTCTAGGTAAACGGTGTTCTACACTTAGAATAATAAATATAATAACATGCTTTTTACCATTCCCTCGATAATATCTTTGTTTAGATGAAGCCACCATTTTATTGCTTATATTACTAGATTCAATACTTATCACTCCCCCCACCCAGATTTCTGTCTTGTATACTCAGATGGTGCTTATTCAGAATAACTGAATGAAGTTTTGAAACTTTTAGAAGATATTTGTGATTTAGATGCAGCTGAGTGTTTGTTAGGAAGTGTTTTTTAGTGTTTGTCATGGCTTACTGTTTTGTTTCTCTCTTTCTCTTTATAGAATGCTTAAGTCATGAACTTGAATCATAAGATACAGACAGCAGTAACATAAACTTCAGACAGTAGTAAAAACTTGTCTTCAAGGGACTGGATTATAAGCTAGCAAGCTGGAGGCACTGCGTTTACTCTCCAGGACAAAGGCTAGGCCTTCTGCTGTGGAGACAGGCTTTAATGTAACCCAGCCTGGCCTCATACTCACTGATGCCAAGGATGCTTTGAACTCTTGATCCTGCTACCACTACTTATCAAGCGCTGACTTCCTAGGCATGCTCCTCCATGCCTGGCTTATGCAGCGCTAGGGACAAATTCTCTACCCACTGAGCTATGTTCTACCTCTTGTTTTTGTTATTTTGAGACAAGGTCTCATTGTGTAGCCCCCACTGGCCGTAAACTAGAGGTAGTTCTCCTTTGTCAGTCTCTTGAGCCACTGTCCAGGGCCTAAGGACTAGTTTGTGATGAAATTACTTGTTTTGTGGAGACTATAAAGAGTGGAATCAGTAACATGAGGTGGCTTTATTTTAAAAAACGGACACATAAATTTTTTAGTGAAGGGTTAGGAAAAATAAAGTAACATCTGGGTGGTGGTGATGACTCATGGGTATAATCCTAGCACTTGAGTGGCAGAGTCAGGCAGATCTCCAGAGTTTGAGGCCAGCCTGATCTACAGAGGGATGCAAATGGTTATTGGATGGGTAATTTAGGCTTATTGTAGTAAAAGAGTAATAAATTTCTTTTGTATTACTCTGGGGGTCTAGGGGAAATATGGTAGCATGTGGGAAAGGAAAGGAAGTTGTCTTAGAATTGTCATGTCTAGAGCTTCTTTTCTCCACTTTTTGTTAAATTTTGCAGGCTCTTTGGTGGAATTATAATCCAAATTAGTAGGGCTAGTAATGTAGGAACATGTGAAAACCTTTTCTATTTTTCTTTCCAAGCGTTTGATCTGTTGGTTACCTTGGAACACTTGTTCAAAGTGTTTTCTTAAAGCTGTTAGTGTACAGTCAAGAATGTTAAAATTCTTGAAGCTTATAAAGCTTAAGGAGTTTTATTAGAATATTTTTCCCAACAGCTGAAGAAAATAACCTATAAATATATGTTAGTTAAGTTTAAATTTGAAAAGCAATTTGAGTTCATTTTATTTCAACTTTACAGAATTTACTCTTATTTAAAAACCACCACATATGATTTTAAAGCATAAAGGCTGTGAACAGTGGTCCTCTACAAGAGCAACAAGAGCTCTTCAACAGTGAACCCCACTTCCTGATGACCATAAAAAGATTTTAAGCCCTTTTGGTTCCTTCCATATTTATTGGTTTTAGCTAACATAGTATTCCTATTCTCTTGTCCCCCAGTTTGGCCTTTCCCAAGT